TATTAATTTTTGCATTTGTCTGGAAGATGCTGATACTGTCAAATTGAGACCTTTTCGACTTGTGGTGGTGATGGATTAAGTGGTCAGTTCCACTTTTCTGCCTGAGGCTGCTGCCTCTGAAACTGGAACAACTGAATGGCGGGTATTGTCACTCAGGAATAGTCACAGTTAGTCTGGCATGTTGACTTAAACCGACTGTCATGGATGGATGTGACCTATTGTCTCTGAAGTGCTGCTTACAATTTCAGGAAAAGGTAGTGATTTGGCAGTAGAAAGACTAACGTGTCTACCATGGAGTTACAATGAGCAGAGATCAGCCAGAGTCTAGCAGTGCTTATTACTCTACCTCTTGAGTGTAGAGGACAGATTTGGCACAGTTTTCAAGTGACAACTCTAGCAAGATTTGAAAAAGGATTTTTTGAGTGACTACAACATTAAATTGAAATTCAGATCCTTGAATGCATGATACCGCAATAGCTTCACAAAACTGCAGGGGGAAGCAGATGACTGCTAATGGATGACTTAGCACTAGAACTGGTATTTGAAGCTGAAAAATATATTCCTTATCTGTTTAAATTCCTTGCTTCCGTGCACCCTTTGAACTCCAGTAATTTTAAATTGACTGCTACTTGGTGACCTTACAAAAGGGTATATGAGATGCAGATGTGCATTGTCACACTGTATAAATAGCCTTACAGAGAAGAGAGTACGCATTTGCTGCTCTTGACAAAACTGGAGCCAAGAACAGTTCCCTAGCAAAGTTAAATCAATTGATCAAATAAAATGCATAGGACCGACCAGAGGAAGCATAGTTGGAAGCGTTACAAACTGAGGGTGTTTGTCCTTCAGCTCTTACCAGCTATATTTAAGGATTTCACTTCCAGCACTTTTGTTACATAGGTTACTTCCAAAACAAACAGTGAAAATAGGTAGGTTGCTTTCTTCTCTAATAGTAGACTAATACTTTAATGCTCTTATTTTTAACCCTGAGTTTTTTGGCAGAGTAGCTGAGGTCCAGGGACTGTGTTTGATGGCCTTTCTTTTGAATTGTTTTACTTTATTGTCAGAAGGCCAAGTTGTCTTTTCTTGTTACTTCAGATTGGGCCTTAATCTTCAGTACCTCTTGCTTGCCAAGCAGGTTTATGTTAGGATCCTAATTTCTTCAGAATATGGACAATTGTAATTCAGTATCCAAATATGTCAACATTTCTAATCAGATCCTTTAAGAATCATATTACTAGTTAAATGTACTTATTTCTTCTGGACTTCAAAAAAATTTTTTTTTTTTTACTTTGTACATCAAAAACTAATGCCTGCCACTCAGAATTTGTCATCTTTGTGTTAATAAAATTTGCAAAAAACAAGCCTTAAGATTTTGCTGACTTTGAATAATCATAATGGAGTGTAAGTTGGGGAAGTTGTGCCTGACCCCAATGTCGTATATGAGCAGCCTCAGGGAATGTAGTGGGTCAAGATATCCTTTCCATAGGCAGAGCATTCTAGGAGTTCAGTCTGACCTACTTCCCTTGCTGAGGAAAGGGTAGCCTGCCCTGCAGCTACTTAAATCTTTTTCTGAAAAATGAGTGGGTAGGGACACTGAAATGACATTGTGCAAAATTTGTCCCAAGGACAAGTCACTTGCAATTTTTTCACTCTGGGCTGATATGATCACAGTAAACTGGTGACCAGTCAATTTGCAATTGTCCATCGAAGCTGGAAATTTAGCATACTGAGTGGAGAGGTTATGTCTTCTAACAGTGGTTTAGTCTTTGGGTTTAGGGTTTTTTTTGTTGGTGGGGGGTTTTTTGGGATTGGGGTTTTTTTTTCCCTGAATTTGAATAGAAGACAGTTTCTGACAGCACCCATTGGACCCGTCCTTTCAGGTTAAATGTAAATTAATCCAAAATAGTTGACTTTCCACTGCTTTTGTGTTAGGATTTTCTGTTAATGAAATGTATATATGGAGGTATAAATGATGTTATTTATTTCACAAATACATAGTGTGCTTTAGAGCACAGTGCATTTGGATGTGACGTGCTAATACGTATGCTTTTACATCTTGTGGAAAAGTCAGAGCAAATTGCTTCTAGGGATAGTCTGCTGCTATACATTGTTTATGGGTCATACTTCAATCCAGAATGAAGCATGAGGTACCCTATAGACTTTACCTTTTTTAAAAATACTGTGAAAACTTGTACAGTTTGGAACTTAAGGGACAGCCTGAAACCCGTAATACAGGGATATCATGAAAATGTTGGTCAAGCTATAACAGAAATACTGGTTTGGAACCAGGACTGCATTGCTTGCATTGCTGCTTTCTAGGGAGCTGAGTAAGCTGCAAAACCATATACGGTGATCTTAACAATGCTGCTGGCTTCTGAAACGTGCTTAGACAACACCTTTTCTGGTCATATAGTCAGAAGTGACCACAAGACTGTCACTGACATTTGTATGTCTGTAACAATTATGTGACTAATAGTCCTCTATTCTTCAAGTTTGTGCAGTTTGATTTGCAGGCAAGAGGATGTACAAAGGAACAGGCTTTCGGAGGAGAGTTGTATGAATCATCCGCTTCCCAGCGTGACAGTCCTTAAACTCTTCAGTTGCTCAGAACTTTCATCTGCCCATGTTTCCCCAGTGAACATGGCCATACAGCCACCTTGGTCTTTCTTCTGTGCTGTTGAGACTCTAGGTCACCATCCTCTTCCATCCTCTTGGCTACCTGAGAAGGAATCCCACAAGTGAAGAATTTTTTTTTTTCCTTTCACTCTTTTTTTTTTTTTTTTTTTTAAATATCAAGCTTCTTTTCTGAAGCCGCCTTGCTGCAAATTATTTTTATATTAGTGTTTAATTCTTAACTGGGGTAAACATATAATATTTTGTAATAATTCTAATAAAATGAAACAAAATAATGATAATACAGGTAAAGCTTTTCATCCAGTGTTCCTTGATTTTAGCGTTTCTGCATCAGGAGTACTGTGACCATGCTGTAGTTCTCATTTTATGAAAAAAAAAAAAATTATTTCGTTATTGTAGAGTTATAACTCTACCTTATGCAACAGTGAATCAGTTAATGGCACTTAAAGGCCAGTTCTTAAATAGGTCATGAGCAATGAAGTCAGTAGGGGTAGTGTTTCAAGCATTTCTTTTCTTGAATGAGGGTTGTCTATGTAGATCTTTCATGTTTTCCAGTAGGATCATCATCTCCAAACCTGTTCTGTGCTGAAATCTGGCTGCTTTGTTCACTGATGTGAAAATTACTTCCGTTGGGCTTTCACTCTATATGCATTCAAGATGTTATAAAAATTTCTTTCTGTGGAGGGTCAACTGTGTGTGTGGCAGTGACCTTGCTGGAGCTGTTTTGTGTGGCACTTCAAAAGTTTGGGTACAGCTTTCAAGTGCAGTTACATACTTCCTGTGCTGAACAGCAGAATCCTACATACATACAAAGAATTGGTGCTTTGAATGCTGCTTGTGCCTTAAGTGGTTAAATTTGTTTGTACGGTCACATTTAGAAAGCACCAACTGGCTTGTGTATGTTGGTGCAAGTGACATTGTGGAAGGACTTGTGTAGGTTTGTCAGTCCACCTTGGAGGAAAGCCAGTTTCTAAATAGGGGTGCATGTTTTGTCTGACCTATGTTCTAGTTTTTGAGGTTTTTTTTTAAATGTGAGGAGCAATGAGTATTAGAAAACATATTTAATAGGCAACAGGAAAAAATTTAGTGATGTAGGCATGTATCGAAAGGGTCAGATATTTTACTGTGTAATTTTGTGTGTCACAACTGAATGCCATTCCCCTGAGCCTAGTTTTCAGAGCATTGTGATCTGTTATTACTAAGATGGTGACAATGGTCAGGTGAATTACTTTCCAAAACCAATAAAAGCAAGAGGAGAGACCCTCTGATTTTGTATTGTTTGTCAGCTACGTGGCGTAGCTGTGAGATGGTGCAGCGCTCCACAAAGAGTACTATATTTAGCTGTTTCCAAGGAGATGTTCTGTGCGATATTGATAATTGCATTAATCCTTGATTTACACAATCTGCAGGAAAGGAAACTGCTCCTTTTCCTAGTGTTGGCTTTTTAATTGCTCAATGATCTGTAATTTATAGACACCTTGATTTAAGTCCTTTGTGTCTGTATGTGCGTTGGGGGCAAAATCCGTGGTCAAATAATCTTTTTTCTACTATAGAAATGATTCATGAACATGAGCATTGCTTCTTGGATGTTACTGTCTTACTTATAGTGCTTTGTTTTTACTTGTGTGAGGTTATGTCTGCATGTGAAAGACTTCCATTGTAAATAGGTTGAAGAGATGGCTTGGTGAAATCCTGTGTTTTCTGTGTCAAAGGCTAAGAGCATTCATGTCAACTTCACTTGTGCCAAGAGTACTGTTAAAATATTCATGGCTGAAAACACAACTCTGCTCAGCATGTGCAATTTTCACTGTATAACAGAACAATCTTCCTGGGTCTGATGGCTTAGTCACTCTCTCTGCATAAGAAATCTTTCAGGGCAGTATTATCCATGGACCTGTTTCTAATGCAGTCAGCTCAACATGCTTTGTACATCTCTGAAAGTAACTACGAATTTCTGAGGTGGAATTATTTCAAGCAAAACTTTTGAGACTTTACATCTAAAATATATTCTACATAGTTGACCTGCAGTGATTGAATTAAATTGAGTTGGAAAGGAGAAGCAAACAGCCAGCCAAAAAGCTAACATATTAGTTTAAACCTTGTAATTCACTATGAATGCTCTTTCTGCATACTGTTGTCCATGAACTGGAGCTTTTTAATTGCCTTGTTGTTATACTCCAGTGTTTCATGGATATATAAAGTGTATCATGTCACAATGACTACAAGCAAGCCATCTTGGTACTAGTTAAAATTCTTCAGGTTACATTTTGTTCTGATTTCTATTCATATTTTATTTGGAACTGCAGCTGACCTACTTGTTCATTTCAATTAAATACTTTGAGACATTGTCTTTTCTTTTGTAGAAAAGAAGAAAGGAGAGCACAACGCTGAAGGAGAAAGGAAATGAGCAGTTCAAGAAAGGAGGTGGGTTGATAATCTTTTAACACCATATGGATGTTACAGAATCTTAAATTAATACTTAGCCATCATGGTGATGTTGCAGAAAACCCATAGGAAGATCTCACACCTATCATTGTTCAAATTTATCATCTATATAATTTTTCATCTGGCTCTAGAGAACAGAAAAAGATAGCAGACGTCCTTAAGAGTTAAGTTTAAATCACAAAGACTTGGATTACTAAAGCAGTATTCTCATGAAAACTAAGTGTTTAAATCCAAGAACATGATAGAGAATTGACTGCCTTCCAAGTGCCATGGTTTCTTTTACTAATCAAAAAAGGCTTCCACTAGGCTCTGAGTTTTGCTAATGCGTGTGCTTAGAATTGATGCAGGACTTGGTGGCCCAGTAGCTCTCTCATTCCTTTGTACATTTGCATGTTTCTTTTTATCCACTGACTCTGTTGTACATTTTAATTTGTGTATGTGTGTGTACGTATATATACAGGCATCTATATATACATATATACACACATGTATGTATATGTATATAGATGTACATGTATATGTGTATATAGAGATGTACACACATGTCTATGTGTGTATATGTAGAGATGTACATGTATGCACACATACATATATTAAAAAAAAAAAATCTAGTGCTGTGTAAATTTCTAGCTTATGCCAGAACTGGATGTGTTCTGAACATAGTTAATACATAACAACAGGTTTGAGGTCAGTAATAAATAACTGTACTAATGCTTTTAATTGAAAAACATAAAGGGAAAAGTGATTTTGACACCTACCTTTCATTTAATGTTCTGGTGGCTAGAGGATTCACAAAGAAACCAGGAAATGCAGATTCATACTTTCCACAGTCAGCGGGGACACAAGTAATTTCCCCTTCCCAGAAGTATACTCTGATAACCAGACAGTGGCCTTCCAGTTGGAGGTGTCTTATTGTGGGCTAAGAGAGCAAGATTCCTGGGGAATGATTTACCAATTCAGGCAAGCATCAGAGCAGGCAGAAGGGAACTGCTCGGACCATGAAAGCGGCAAGCCTGTAATGTTGGCTAAATCATCTTGTGAAGTCTCATCCATAGCCTCTTCTTGACAAATTCTTCGGCACATCTTTTCAGTGTGCCTGTGCCTGCCAAAGTGCTTACTAATCAGAAATAACACAACCTTTTAAGCACCTGGATGGTCACCAGCTAATGTTCACAGAAAGAACTGCCCTGGTTTGAGGACAATGCACTTGTCAGCTGGCGAGCTGTTGTTCAGAGTCAGTATAGGGCCTTTTCACTCTTGACTCTACCTTTATTAGAAAATTAATAACTTGGTGGTAAACCACTGGTCATTGCTTTAGACCAGACTTGATGACGGATGGCCTTCAAGTGATAATGGGTTTGTGGTGACTGACCTTTAAGTCAGTCATTGAAGATGATGTGCCAAATAAAATATTGCCATAGCTGCTTTGAACAGGTATCGGTGCAGTGACATGTTTCAGCACATGCTTCCTGTCAGATCGAGGATACACTTAATCTGAAGAGATTTTACCTCTAAGGCTGGTACTGAAATAGAATTACACAATTTCAGGGATGAGAATTATAAGCATGTCATGCCGCACTTGTTACATTAAGCTCAGGACTGTATTTCTGCTTTTACAAGGGTGTTGCTTTTAAAATAATTGTCATTGATCTATGTACTACTTAGTAATGTACTTTGTCTGAGAGCAGCTACTGATTCTGGTTTAATATTGCATCATATGTTGAGAAATGTTTCCAAAGAAATCCTAGCCATGTTGTTCACTGACTGTGCTGCTATTTGAAATAAATTGTCTGTTTTGGTTTTTTTGCTATTGCATCTGCAGACTATGGAGAGGCAGAAGACTCCTACACAAAGGCTCTGCAGATTTGTCCAGCCTGCTTCCAAAAAGACAGGGCTGTTTTATTTTCAAACAGAGCTGCTGCAAAAATGAAACAGGTGAATATTCTTTTTATTTTATGAAACCCCATGTATTGATTATATGACAAATGCAATAATGAAGTCATTAGGGGTGCATAAAGGAGGGCAAAGGAATAAAGCTGTTTGCAGGTTTTGCTGCTTGCTCAGTCTGTCATGCTCCCAGTAGAAATGCTGGTATGCTTGGCTTTACTGAGGATTAATACAAACCTGAAAGTTTCAGTTGGAACAGCTGTTCAAAGTTGTTCTGCTGCATTATGTTAAAACCACTGATTTTTTCTTTCATTCTCTCTATTTTAATGAAATTCAAAGTTCATGTAGAACAGATGTCTTTGAGCATGTTTAGTGTATGCAGACCATGTATTAGATTGTATAGAATTGTAGCTAGTTAGTGTTTTTTTTAAAAGCCTGGATTGTCATATACTTGTCTTCATTTAATTGGCTCAAATGCTTTGAGGCATAAGCAGGACTTCCTAAATAGGGCTTTATTAATTCAGTTAGTCTGCTTCCTTCACAGTTGCTATGTAGTAGGACAGACCTATATAGTAGGGCATGGTCTACATAGAATGGCTGCAGCTTTCTTCATATGTTTTCTATTCCTTGACCAGGGACAGGTGCCCAGATGTTAACCAGAATCAGCAATAAACTTAAGTAGCATGGAAGGCACAGAACACAATCTGTCTGAACAGAAACTTTCACTTCTTTAGAAAGAGGAGATACTAAGAATTCAGGAGAAATTACTCCCTATTTTTGCCTTTGTTTTTAAGATTAAATTATTATAGAAAAATAGCACAGTTAACTCCTATCCTCAGTTTACCCTCCAGCAAAGAGAACTTTCTTGCAGTTTTCCTCCAGTATTGAGACAGATGCAGCTCTGTTCAGAAATGTACCTTGCAGCCATATTTAGACATAAATAAATAAATTCTTACTCAGCATAGAATATTCTTGTTTGGCTAGAGTTATCTAACTTGCTGTTGGGATACTGAATTGTTTGAGCAGGCAAGGAAAAAATGGAATAAAATCTGTAATAACAGATGCTGGAACCTTTCAAATATGAAAGCTGTAAACTGAAAAACCTCCTCATAATCCAGATGTTAACTATTGATATCACTGGGAAACTAATCCCGTAGCCCCCAACGGAGGCCAAGATGATAAAAGAACTGTGCACAAACTAGTGTATCTCACCAGGATAGATCAGTGGAACCTGACAGACCAATACATTACTCTAAAAATAGATTCATATTATTAATAACTTTCCCCATTAAGTTTGTTCTTCCATACCTGCTGCACCCATTTGCTTTGCACTACAATAAAAGCTTGTGAGGCATTCTCTTCTGAGACAGCTTCTGTTTTATGGAGGAGAAAATAGTTAGTTCCTTGGGTGTAGAAAGATTACTACCACTTAGATCAACAATACAAGCACAGAACAGCCTGCATTTTGGGTTGGGGTTTTTTTAAGCCCTTTTAGTTTGGATGAAAATAGGATCTCTGTCTCAGCTCTTTTGCTTTTTTTCTTGTTTCATTATAAGCAGATTGCCTGGCTGTCATCTTCTAACTATGGTTGTCTGGGTGCACTAAAATCTTGTCCCTACCACTTCTGGAAGCCTTATGCACTGTCCCTTGTAGAGAAAGCTGTATTAGTGCTAAAGGCAGTATCTGCTTTCCAAATGTGTTAGCTTGTACAGACAAGAATTTATCTGGGGCTCTTGGGAACTGTCTATTCCAACCCCTTAATTAATTGACAAAGGTAGAAAAGCTGTAGCTCGGTTAAGCCAAGGCCTGCAGATGTGACTCAGCCTTTTGACTGTAGCTTGCTGCCGGCTGTTCAGTGCAGACCGATTAGTGGGGCAGCCGTGCAGTTTGAACACTGGCAACCTTCACAGAGAAGAAGCTAATCACTGGTAAAGAGCTTTACATCAGAAGCAACGGTATGAAAAGCCTTGATTACATGAACATCCCAGTTCCTTGGAATGCCAGACAAACCTTTTTGCTTGCAATTGTAAATAATCTGTTTCACAAGAAATAGGATTTAAATATAACAAAATTATTTTGTATTCTAGGACAAGACGGAAGCTGCCCTAAGTGACTGCAGCAAAGGTATGACTTTTTTTTTTTTCCCTATGTGCTGCTCTTGTGCCAGATCTGTCATGCATAAATTATGCCATTTAGTGCCTTACTGCAGAGCTTTAATTTTGGGCGTAAGAGTCTTTAAAGAATTTAAAGAAAAGAATTCTTTATATTACTTATTTTGTAAAATGCCTATCAAACTTTTCCTGTCTGCAATAATTTACTTTCTATTCTCTTGTGCCAATAAGGCTGCTGTTTTACTTCTTTTTAATAGGGAGGTCTTTTTATTATGGAAGCTGTTTCCTTACACATACTATTTTAAACCCATTTCCCCCTGCTATTCCCCCCCAGAACTTGGTTTAATCCCAGATTCCAAGAACCATGAGGCCTTACAGAATTAAAAGCTTTATCAAGTCCCTTTTATGCAAGGCTTTTGCTTTGTCACAAGGGGTTATGCTCTCCTGTTCTTGTCCTGCATGGTTTTCTCTCTGCAACTTCTGGTGAAATCATTTCAGCTGTGTATTGCTTTATTGCTTCCACCCACTCACCCATGCTTGAATATTTGTTAAACTCCCCATGACAGCTGGGGAAAAAGGTCCATGTTACCAATCAGAAAACTAATCCAATGGCTGCGTGCCAGTACTGCTTGTACCGTAAATATGAGTTTGTACATGCTAAAAGTATTCTTGAAGGTAACAAATTCTAGCTCGCCTCTGTCACTTTGTGGGTTTGCCATGTTTTGGTGGTGGTGCATTTTGAAAAACACTTCTGCTAATTTTGTAGTGGATGAAAGGGAATTGGTCTGCTTTGCAGCAGTGAGACTTAAACCTACCATCGCTTGACACTCCCCAGGGACTTGGCCTACAAACTGCAGTGCAACACTTGGAGCACAGCAGAGCAATTCACACTAACCTGCAACTTGCTGACTGTAGCATTGTCTTTGTCCTTCCAGAAGAAATAAACTAGAATATTTAGCTAGATAATCCTTGATTTAATTGTCCCAAGAACCATTTTAATGGGTAAGTAATTATAAAGTGGGCAGTCTTTCATACTCCCTCTTTCTATGATGAAAAATGGATGAAGAAATTTTTGAGAAATTACCATTTGCAGGTTACTGTTAAGTTTAGCATTCAGTCTTAACTGCATCTGTAAACACAGTAATGGCTGCCAAGGGAATAAGGAGAGGAAAAGCTTAAATTCAGTCAGTATGCCCCTCTAACTTGTAGAGCTAATATAACAGTTTGTGGATTCCCAACCCAATTTTGACTGATATTAAATTCAGAAGAACACCAGTAGTTCTGGAGTTTGTCTCAACTTGAACTGAGATAAGCAGGGAAACGCTTATTTTCCCTGCTGTGTGTATGTTTAGGTATATTTAACTTTAGCTGTAATCTAATAATACACACTTATTAAATATACAAAAGTTGAAAAATATCTTACAGGTCCTTAAAATTTCTGAAGCGTCACTTAGAATCTCTGCATATACAGTACTGCAAAATTAAATGGTTGTGCATTATAAATCACTTCTATCTGTGATAGCTTGTAGACGTTAAATGAAATATGATCATTTGCATTAGACTTTCACAGGCAGATGTATGCCTTTTCTGAATTACGACTTAGCTTTTAAACTGTGCTTGATTCTGAGCTAGCTACGTTATAAAGATAACTATTAAGAACTTAATACACACTTAAGAATTCATTTGAGGGGTGTAGAAATGTTGCAGATAAAATACTGTGCTTTGTTTTTGTTTTCTAGCAGTGGAATTAGATCCTAACTATATTAGAGCTTTGCTGAGGAGAGCAGAACTATATGAAAAAACAGAAAAACTAGATGAAGCTCTGGAAGATTATAAGGCAGTCCTAGAAAAAGACCCATCAGTTCATCAAGCCAGAGAAGCTTGCATGGTAAGCCTTTATAGTATACTTTGGCCTAACTTTAAACCAAGGTCTTCTCTTTCCTTTTCTAAATATTCAATGTTGTTTATGCAAGCATCTTCATATGAAATGTTGATGACTTTTTTTTTTTTTTTTTGTCTGAAAGTGTAGTGGTTTTCTCATCTGGTTTTACATAAGGAAGATTACATGAACTGCCACAACTTCCGTGACAAGTCTCTGGTCCATAAAGCATAGTCCTCCTTTTTACCTTTGTAAAATGAGTGAAAGTAAATGTGTATTCTGAGCTGTAAGCATCTAATAACATGTTTAGCTGTTGAATAGTGCATGCACACACATGCTTCATTCTAGTTTCTGATTGAGGCTGTTAATTGTATTTATGCATGTGCTAGAAAAGGTTGCCTGAACCACTGCTGCATTTTAGTAGCCGTCATTTCAACACGGATCTGCAATTTGGAGATCAGAATACAAGCACCCTATTAACACAGTTCTTGCTAGCTGTTTAATTAGTGGGAGTCTGGTTTTCTTTCGGTAGAATTATTTATCTGATTGGTAAATTTGGAGTCAAATGTGTTTATGGCATAATTATAAAATAATTACTTTTTTTGATGACTTGATTATATAACTTTGAGAATGGCAAAGACAGGATTCTATCAGTCTGTATCTATGTCTGTATCTACTTTAAAATGTTGGTATTTTGTTTCTTTATTTATCTGTTTTCTGTCCTTGTTCTTTGCTATGCCTTGTGTGTGTATTGGCCACTTCGAGTTATTTTACTAATAGTGACTGAAGTCTGCTATTAATCTTCAAAAACTTAGCCTTTCACTTGAAGAAAAAGGCACCTTGTGGTTGCAAACAGCACTCTCTCCTGATGCAGTTACTTTGTTCTAAACAAAAACCAACCTGCAGCTTAGTACTGTGTTCCAGTGTCCGCTTTCACCACTTTCAATCAAATTACAAATACTTCAGACTTCAGCATTAAACATGCCTTGCAGAATCTTTGCCATATCTCTGCTAAGTGTAAGGAAATGCTTTAAAAGTTTCCTTGGCCTTTAGGATGTGTCAGCTTGGATAAAAAAGGTAAACCCCTAGCACTTCCTGAAATCCCAATCTAACATGTAAATAATCTCTACTCAATGGGAATTTAAAGTCACTGCCACAGCCTGCTGATTTGAGGTTTTAAGTAACTCTTTGTGTAAAATACCAGCAGGAAGTGATTTTTGTAGTGATATTTAGTATGTTAATGTTCAGTGTGGAAAATAGCTGTGGATTTGACAAGTTCAGAGGGTCTTTCACAAGGGTAGCAAGAAGGGAAATTTATTTTGTGGAGAAAGCTCCTCTTACAGGCTGCTTGCTGTTCTTATTTTTGAAAAGAGTTTATGAAGGCTGTGTTGAAAGGACAAATGTGGTAGAGATGTAGCCAGACAGCCTGTGGTTTTGAAGGAAGATGTGCTAATGAAAGGTAGCAACTATAAAAAGTACAGTGGTGGTCACTTTTTATCAAAGTGGGAGCTTCAGGTCATGGTAGGTGAATGGTTTGCAAGCACCAGAGAGCCTGGGAAGAGCTGACCATCTTCTGCAGGGAAAACAACAGCCAAACTATTCTTTACTTCCATTTTAAGGTAAATGGATGCAATTTTAAAACGTAATTCTTAGTTGGGCACTCAAATCCATATGCCAATACTTGACTTTATATCTGGTTAAATTTTCAAAGGGCATCATTATTGTAGTTCAGCTTCACATCAGTGAACCTGCAACGTGTTCTGCCCCATAAAAAAAAAAAAAATCATTTGCTTCACCCGCAATATTATCTCTAAAACCACTTTGAATATGTTGATGCAGAAATATTTTTTAAAGGCTTAGGTTTAATTGATTTAACTCTCCATTTGGGAAAATAAATCATTAGTAGTGATTTCCCCCGCCACCACCACCTTTTCCCCATACTTTGGTGTTGTAAGTGACAGAACAGAAACTGCTTTTATAGCATATTAGACAAGAAGCCTTGCCTGAAATTACTTCCTTTGGGACTGCATCAGTTGCACTGATGGCAGAAAAATACTCTGCTTAACTGTGTAACTCCTGTTAGTGGTAAGGGTATGGTTTCACAAAGCAGCTAAACTGGTCTACTAACTACCTGCTGCTTACAAAGCTGTCCAGTTGCTTTCCTTGTGCTAGCACTGGTACTAGGTCATGTCCGACCCTAGGGGATGGCTGGTTCTATATACGAGTCTGGCAGACAACTAACTCTGCTAAAGGGAAAAACAGCAACAAGTGACCAAAAAAGGCAGCAACCAAAAAGCCCCAAAGTAAATACTTTTATATTGCCTTGGCTTTTTGCAGTCAGACAAGTCCTACTGCAAATGCTAGGGAGAAGGAAAGAAGACATGGTCAAGGCAGTGCAGGAATTGGGGCCATCGCTTTTGGCAGCACCCACTGACAAGGTCAGTTTACTGTACTGTGAAACAACCCCCTGATGCTTGTTGCATGCATCTAGTTGCGAGTAGGAAAGAACTTTATCACCTACCTCTTGTCAATGGCTTAATAAATGACAAGCTTGTCAAAACATCGTTACTGCATGGGTAATGAATGTGATCGGTCCATCACAGTCTAGAAAAGAGTATTTATGTTGGCCTTGTTTATAGTCTCCTAGCTGAGACGATGGCTTATTTGATTCAGGAATTCAGCCAAGGAGTCTGCTGACATTCATAAAGGAAACGATGGGGTTTAGTTTCTGTAGCTTGTAGTCTTTTAGCATTAGACTAGCTCCAGAGTGAGGCCTAGTGTAATCTAGCCAGTTACTTGGTAAAATAGTGTATAAGGAGTGCCTTTTAGCAGCTTATCATGCAAGGAACAACTGTGAAGATCAGACAGATTGTTATAAACCGCCAGTCAGGTTAATCTCCACAGATTAAGACTTTGGAACACTGTCAGTAGTTGGTACAAAATGTAAGGAGTTTAAAATACATATATTTTGGCTGCTTGGAACCCCCTGAAAGTAGAGATACTGTCCTTTATAGCTCTTGCAAAACCACAATTTTCTTTCAGTGAGTATGCCTCTAATAATCTCACAAAAGACCCCTTGCTCAGTAACCAGTGGAGATTTGGGCTAGAAGAGAATCGTAAACAGCGCTGCTGTTCTTCCTGTCCATCTTTCAGGAATGATCAGTAATTTATTCTTAATTTTTGTAGCTGAGAAGTACAGAGGTTGACTGTTACATATACCTTCTGCTCCTTGACCTCATTTTACTAGGCAGATGCTTTAGGCTCACATGTGGTGCAGAACACTTTGTACAAAATGCCCTCAATTTACACTGCACTGGGAGTTAGGACATTCTGCCCTGAGTTGGTTCTGTTCTTTGTTAAGTTTCAGAGTAGAAGCAATCTTTTGAGGCTGAAACTTAAAAGTCCCCTCTTGAAAAATTGTTAAGGAAATACTGACAGCTAGTTTTACACTTTTTAAAATATTCATAATAAACTTCTGAATTTCATAATAAAAAAACAATTCCATCTGTAATGTTGACTCCACATATGTGGTTAACATATCTAATGTGTAGGAGACTAAGAAGCTTTGCTTTATTGTAAAATGCATTGTGCTCTGCAGAAATATCGCAGCTTTTTTCCCCCTCACTGATAATGAAAATGATGCATCAAGAGAATCTGCATATTAGCTTCAGATGCTGTTAGAGCAAATCTTTCTCCTTCCTGTACATAGAAAATATTTCAGATACAGCTTTAGGGCATGTCATGATCTTGTTAAATGACAGTTTAAAAATACTAAATACACAGTAGTTCTTTGCTTTGATTCCTGATTTGGTAGCTGCACTAAAATTTCAGTACTGTTTATATTTTAGGAGTACAGTGCTAGTGTTCTGATTTAAATCCTAGTGTCACACACTTTAGTTACTTTTGACATATTCAATGCCAGATTAAACAGTTTGAAATTAAAAGGTTTTGTGGTTAAATAACCCCTATTGATGCTTTCCCAGAAAGTGTTTAATTATATGGTATCAATCTTTAGGTTTGGTTTTAGCAGGTGTGTAACAGTGTTGTGTGAATTTTAGCTTCAGCACAGTTTTTGAGGGATTGGCAGGCCAGATAAACTTATTTACCAAAAGAAGCTGTACTTTGAGGTAAGTATCATAGACACCAGATAATTAGCTGTCCTTACAGACACCTTTCTACAGATAACTAACCTTGCAAATACATTTCTGGAGTGAGAAATGCTGAGTCTTTACAATAGTAGTATTCAGACAGACAAAACATGGAGTATGTATTTCAGATCAAGGATTTGTGTCATTTCCTGCTAAAGCCTAATGTCCAAATGTGAGAGAGACACGCTATGTATGCCAAACTTGTCCAAGATTCAGCAAATCTCACAACCACAATGCAAACTGAATTTAGAGCCTGGGGATATCCACACATGTTTTCATGCAGGCAGCTTAGGTCCGGATCTGCACCCAACTTAATAAGCCCCTCTGGGTCAGCAGGAGTCAGATGAGGTCTGACTGGGCTAATTAGATCTGGCTCACTGGTGGTGATGCTGGGCCTGGGCTAGTTTCAAGCTTAGCCATCCATGTATATCTGCATTCTATTCCTTAGTACTTGGTTTTTTTCTGGGGTATACCACCTTTCTTCCCCATCAGTATAGAAAATGAACTGTATTTGCCAGTGTTCACCAGTGTATCCTGCATTGAAGAGGAGAGGAATAGCCAGGCAGCCTTGTCAATGAGCTTTTCTTGAGATGAACATCTTATCTCACTGTGGGAATGATATCAGGATGACAAACCTATCCATGATGACTGGAGCTATAAATGACAGGAAGGAACAAGATTAGGAAATGAATTCTTTAACTATGTTGAGAAGCCAATTATCACAAGGCATGTGTATCAGGAGTGAATTCCACACCTGTTACCATAGTCTGCAACTGTAATTAATTTACTGATAGCACCATTACAGCAGATCTGTCTTATTTGCTATGACCTCCACAAGAAGAGACAGCATAGTTATGCATATAATTGCATGCTGAACTGCCAGAATCATACAGTAATAAGCATAGTATAAAGGCTTGAAATAGTACTTCTGAAAAATATGAAAAAAGATGTGTGAAAAGTGACAGTAATTTGTAATATATTTTGTTTCAATGTTGTATTTAACTGATGTATAGAAAATGCACAATTTAAATGATACAATGGTAAATTTAGTTGTAGTGAATATAAAGTTCTAATTAAAAATGATTATTACAATCATATAGCAAAACACCAGTGCTGTGTAAGGATGGAAGGTGAGTCACAGCTGTTCCAGGCATAAATGGGAATCTCAAATCGTTAGGAATGCATGGACCCTGCAGTTATGTAATGCTCATTAGAAACGTGATAAGTTTGTGATGGCGCAACAGATTTTAACACTAGTGCCAGCTCTGAGAAGGGGAAAAGCACATTAATGAACTGTTACTTGGACTAGTATGTTGCTCAGGATGAACTGCTGGAGTTCCCTCCCCATGATGACCTGCCAAATCAAGGCCCGCATTTATAACACCCTCTCCTCCTCAGAACTATGCAATATATTGCGTAATAAGATGCTGCTCATTAAGTGATGCCCTGAGGTTCATAGACAGTTAATTCAGTGATCTTCTGATAAAATATTTATATTTAGATGATCTTCGTGTTTTCACACTGCAAATTTCCCTGAAGTGTGATGCCACTGAGAACTGACTTTATGGATGTTTTGCTTGCTACACCTGTGTTTACATTCAGAAGTCAAATGCTGTGCTTGCTTAGTTCCTCTAGCCTCTCTTACCAAATTTATTGCATGCAGCAGAGGAAATAGGGCTAAAATATACTTTAATTGTAAGTCTCTTAAATTCCATAAGCTTTTCAGTTAAAATTCCAAGCAAACAAATCAGATCTCTTTTTCAGCAGTAAAACTGTATGCCTATATGGAACCTGCACTTACAAGTTACAACTTACGGTTTATGTGAACTGATGTCATAGGATGAATTACAGGTTTTCAAAATAAGATGAAAGTGTAGTTTGACATAAGGATTCCTTTTAAGCCATAAACAGTGTATCCTGGGTATGTGTGTGAAAATTCCATTAGTTTAACCTACAATATTATTGAAAGCATAGGTCTGATTCCAATTTTTATCTCTCTCCACAGCGATTACCTAGACAAATTGAAGAGCGGAATGAAAAATTAAAGAAAGAAATGTTAGGTAAGTAACATGTACATATAACTTGCATAATAATCTTCATAGTCTACTAGAAAAACAAAAATGCATGAGTAGAATCTCTTGTATAATTTTAAGAAGGTAAATCTTAAAGGAAATACTTATTCTGTGTTAAACAAAACTCCCAATTTCTTCATAGTTCTCTATTGCTTGGTTTCACCTGCAGTAAGTTCTAGCCAAATAATTCTCCCACACATAAAAGGCTATTAGTTAAATTTAAAGAAAGAATACTCAAGACCTTCTAAAACAATTTATACTGATGCATGTAAAAGCAGGGGGAAATGGTTTGAAACAGACCAACTGCTCTGCCCTTTCTCTCTGCAAGTAAACCTTCAAAGCAAGCATTCCCATGAAAGGGATAAAACAGGGTTTTCACTAAACCTTTACATAAAAGAAGTCAACCAGCTGTAATAACTGAGCATGTTTGATCTTGTGTCTGAAGAAATAAATTTGGTTGTTTGTAGCACTTCCAACCTATAGACCTCCAAGTCTTTATGTTTACCTTGATTTATATAGTATTTCAGTTCTGTTTGTTTGGAGGCTGAATTAGACCTACCTAGTGTTACAAACTGGCATCTGGCCTTGCTAGGAGTGGAATTAGATTTCCTAACTGCATAACTCGTCTCTTGACTTTTTACAATTCTATACCAAAGGATACTATTGACTTTACTTGTTTGTAGAAAAGAGAATTTGATTAATATAACTCATTTGAATGTATGTGCCCCCATCATCATGTTGTGTGGTATTGCTTGGATAATATCTTAACTAGATTGATGTATTTCAGAAGGATAGCTACTTAAATAAGATTGTGCAAGCAAGATTGATTTTCATGTGTAATATTAAGTATAAAGCACTTCCTTGCACCACTCACAGGGTTATGGTTAAACAAACAGTTTGGGGGGGGACCTCCTGCCCAAAAAAAGACTACCGTCAACATTGTCTGCTGTCTTGTAGTTAACAGAGTTTGTTAATTCTTATAGGTTCAGACACTACATAAGCCAAACTGATATTCTGGTTCTTTTTAAAATGAGTTTTTATTTTTATATAATCTTTTCATTTGTACTGTTTAGAAAATCCACACAAAAGAGCAAGGACAAATGACAGTATAAGATAAACTAATTGTACCTAACCTGTTTCAGAAATAGCTTCAATAGTTACCTGTTTACTCATTCTAGGTGTGACAAGTAGTAGCTGAAATGCTATTTTAAGATGAGTAGGCTTTGAGGGTTTGGGATGGGAAAGGGGAAGACTGTTTTGCTATTCTGCAGAGAATCAGGTTAAACTAAAGTCTGTCTTGCATACTGTAACACTAATTCTTAAAATATTTTGGAAGAAGAGACTGTTTCAAGGGCTTATGCTGAAGCTGGTATTTTTCTTTATTTTTTTTTCTTGCTGTGCAGGGAGTCTGATTTGCTCTTGCTTTGTACCTGTTTTGACCTAGTCAAGTTGCAGTGAGGCTTTCTAGAGCTTTACATCATCAGATTCTGTTTCCACCATTGTGCTTAGAACAAGCCATAAATAAAGAAGGTTAAGTGTCATAGTGCTATAAACAAATGACAAATACAAAAAATCTCCAGAAGGATCATGCCCATTTGTAGGACATGGGATGGGTTTCAACAAAAAATAATATGATAACAATTTCTAATCTTTTTTGAACTCTCCCTTTGTACCATTGTTACCAATGTCTAAAGGGCCTCACTAATCACAAGGGACTATACTGAAACAATAAATCCAGCTTTATAAACTGTCATTACAAACCTAGTTCTATACTGCTAATTTTTGCCTAGATTTCAGACTAGATGTGATCTTTTTAAAAAGCGTTCATCCAGTGGCAGTTAGGATTTCAGAACTAAACTCGTCTTTTGGGAACCAGTTCAGGCTGTTTATATTGGGATTCTCAAGAAAGGAATCCCTTCTCAATGATGTTACATACATGCAAGGAGATACACTGATGTTTACTGGTGTAAACAGCCAGGGAAACCAGACTAAGAGTGGGGTAGTACAGCATATAACCCTATGTTCATCCACAACCTTTGCATGCAAGAAGATTCATATAAATTGTCACATATATTGTTAAAATTATATGGTGTCAATTGGGCAGGTGGTATTTTATTCTTAGCACTGCTTGTGATCGCTAGTGTAACACAAATGGAGGATTTTTTTCTATAATACATTCTCTTAATAGAACATTTGAAATTAAGTTAGGAATATGAGCAGTAACCAGACTAATTTTTTTAAGTGTTATAAAATTCTCTGTATCTTATTGGTAAGAGAGATAGCATTAGCATTAGGATCCAATGATGGAGGCCTGGGAATTAAATACCTCCCAAGGTTTACAGAGTGCTGCTGTTCTGTCTGAGGTCAAGTAAAAACCCTTAAAATTGAAAAAGGGGAATTAAATGAGAGTTGTGGAAGGAGTGAAAGAAAACAAACTTGATATAGTGTGGTGGTTAAAAGATTTCTTTGGGTTGTTTTTGTTGTACGATGTATTTGTTTTAAGCTGTTTCAACTTTTCTATTTCAAGAACTTTGTTAGTGCTATTTACTGAGTACTGTGTCAGAATAGACAATTGCTTATGGTAATCTGTTAAAAGTTTACCTGACTACTGGTTAAGTAGTGCCAGGTGTGCAAGGATTCATTCTTGCCTTCTCACAGGGGAGTCTGCTCAGGTGTCTGAGTTGTACCCCAGATTCTTTGGTTCCAGTAGAGCAAGTCAGATGCGTCCTAATAGTTCCAGGCTAGGCCTAGTCGAGGAGCACTGACACTAAGTTTAAGTTCATCACCAACAAAATCTTTAGAAAGAATGTCACAGTTAATGCTTTGGCTCCTTTGAAGTTTGGATATTGAATTGAATTTTTATTTTAGTCAATGAATCAGCCAGTAATGTTTTTTCTAGGTTTTTATTCTTTCAACTAAAACTAAGTCCTGGTATACCCAACTAACTAACACTGTCATGAAAACTGGAGCTTTGTACAAACAAACCAAAATAAATGGAGTGCATCTTCCTCCTTTCCCAAGTGTGTTTCCTGTTTTCCAGTGCTACAGCTCATTACCACATAGTTTGTCAGAAGCTGAAACCACTTCTTAAGTGATTGTGTGTAAATAAATCAGAGTACACATTCTTGGCTGGATTTTTCTTCCAGACTACCTAACTATGAATTCTTGTGTGCAAGTGGTAGTGCATGTGATTGAAGTTGATGTCACTAGAAAAAGCATGTTTTGTTGCCAAACCAACTCTATTTCTGCTATGTGTTCTGCACGGGTCTAACTTTTCCAAAGCTGGCATTTGTGTTTAAATTATTTTCCTATTTTCCATTCAGCCTTTGCAGGTTAGTGCTGCTGCTTGCCACTGACGTTTGCTCAGTACAAGCTAACCTCTGAATTTCACATTAAAGAAAGCTTAACTTATAGCACACTTTAAAGTAGCTTTTAAATCCATGTCGCTCTTTCCCTTTATGCTTTCATAATGTGAGCGTCCTCTGACTTAGTAATTGCCCAGGATGTGAGCATATACTGACCATCTTCTGTGTTCTTTTTTATTTCTCTTCTGACTTTAAAGCCAAAGATTTCCAGCTATTGTGCAACAAGCTAGTCTTGTTTAGAGAAACTGTAATTATTGTGATAACTAGGACCAGTTCCTTTGGGGAGAGGGTGTGAAAAGAGGGGAAGTTTGGAATAGTTTTAGCAAGATTTAGCAGCTTAGAGGCTGTGACAACAATAGTTTTCTGCATAGCTACAGGGGAGCCAAGTATATTGGATATAAAAAAATCAGATGGAACATATGCCAATCTGTGTAACCCATCTTATACACACAGAGTTCATCAAGTCTAATCAAAAACTATGGGGACTTTCAGTTTAAGTTATAAATGAGTGCATTCCAGAAAACAGTGAAATGTACTTGATTATCAATGTGATTAATGGGAAGGCCTATCAGAGCATATCACCTGGGCCTTTCTGCCAATAAGAGATTTTTCCAGCTACTTGAGATCAGCAAAGATATTTATTAGGCTTAATGCCCAGAGAATTAGTTGCTTTTTTTTTTTTTGATACTGAAGGATATGTTGTATTTGCAACTAAGCTGCTAAACCCCAGCACTGTATATAGGGAGGTCACTTTAAATAGTTCAAATCGGAGCTAATACATACTTCTAATTCAGTCCTCACTTACCATTTAGGGAAGGGAAAAGGATTTGCCCTTGCTCTTTTAATTGCTTAAGAGATGTTGTTGGTAATACAGAAAGTTATACAAAGATGAAACCTCATCAGGAAATTTGTCTTTTATCCAAAAAAAATTCTTAACACAAACAATATCTAGCTTTTCAACTTCCAGACACCACATTAACACTAGCAACTATACTAGGAATTATTGCCAGAAAGTCTGAATAGCAATTAATTTTGGCTGTTATGTCTTAATGTAAATCATGAGAAATCTTTTCGTGCATCTGCCTTTTGCAACAGGATGTTAAATTGCAGTTAGGTGAGTAATGAATCACAGACTTCTGAGCCCTAAATTGATTTTTACCAGTTAGTTTTCTGGTTAACGTCTGAATATCACTTTGCTGAAAAAAACTTAATATGCTGGAGTTCCAGATGAAATGTAGACATAGGCTCTCTAAAATGTAAAGAACAAGATCTTTTCTATGAAAATACCGTCTCAGAGATGAGAATGTGACCCTGCTTGGGGACAAGTGAGTGTTTGATTGCTGAGAACTCTTTGCAGCTGAGTCACAGCTCCACATGCCTTTTTCCTTCCTTCAAGCACAGTCTCTGTTTTAAGAGAGCTTTTCTTTGGGGGGAGGGGAAGGTTGGACTTAACTACAGATCTTAATTTAGGGATGAAAGGAAAGTGGGGGAGGAGGAAATAGTGCTTTCCTACAATGATGGGTTTATGTGTGCCAAGACAGCAGGAGCAGTGCTTGGGGCTTGAGTTCCCGGAAAAGGCAAGGCTTTCTTCTGCTTCATTACCAATTTATTAAATGTGGCTGCACCAAAAGGCATTGCTGTATGTGGATTTAAGTGATAGAACAAGAAGGTGACCTATGACTGTATTGTTTTAATTATTCAGTCACAGTGAGATGAAGAATAAAGTATTAAATATATCATATGGTCTTTAGCTTCTCCCCAAGAGCTGGCCTAGCTACAAGCAAGAATACCAAGGCAGTTGTTCTGTGTTTATTGGCTCTTGTATGACCGGAAAAGAGCTATCGTACTAACTCCAATTAGAAAAGACCTTTCACAGTTTCCTGAAACAGGCAAACTCGTCTGCCTGCTCCTGAGCCAGCTGCAGTGCCTGGATAACTTCTGAACTGTTTACAACTGACTCTAGCAATGCCACACTATGCCAGGATTCTTCCACCAGTAGACAAAGACACTTTTCACCCCAAACCTGAAGCTAAGCAATGACCAAATGTTTGTCTTGAAGTGCAATAGCAACTATTCATCCCAGTCATAGAGATGCTATGAACAACTTTATAGTTTTATAACCAAAATGCTCTTAGGATGCAGTATGAAATTATGAACTTAATAGTTAATTTGGCTTAAACAGGGTATAGCTTAGGAAAAAAACTCCACCACCAGTACAAAGAAGCTAATCCTAGCTGAGCCACTCACTGGAATGACTTCAGCCAGAGCATTCAACCACCTCACTTGTTAAACCCCAAAGAAAAAAAAAAAAAAAAAAAAATCAAATTGAAGAAAAATCCTGTCTCACCAACTACGTGTTTTTGTTGGGTAAGGTGGTCTTTTTTTTCCTTGTGTAAGGCCATGGAATTTCTATGTTGACTCTCAAAGACCAATCTTGCTTTAAAATAATTACACAGACCTCTGAAAGATACCCAGTTGTGAACCAGCACTTTGATGCAAGATCTTAATTATTTTGCCATATTTAGGAGTACCGTAGTAATGCTGTTAGTTTCTTTATGCAGGACTGAGTTGTTCCTTAGAATAAAATGCTTACATTTTTCCCCACCTATTGTTTGTTTTTGTATATTCTGTGAATGTGTTCAAAAAAGCTCCCCCTGCCCCAATTCAATTTTGAAAATGTGACTGAAGAAATAGTGTATTTTGGTTTATGGTGATGGTATTTAACCTGTCTTGAACTGTCGCTAGATTCTAAGAGATAAGGGGCATGCTTCCATGGGGTAAATTCAGACTTGGATATGATTTCTGTTTCAAGCACGGTCACAGGCCTGCAGTGTCATTCAAGGCAAATCTCTTGATCTGTTTGTACTCCATTTGTGCGACATAAATGCTACTTGTGGTTTTCTGTAAAGAACTTCTATAGGGCTTTGCTCCTTATGTTTCTGTACTTCTTTATCACTGCTGTGAAGTTACTGCTTCAGTATGGCTTAGGAACAAAGCCTGAACTAAATTCTGGCTGGTGCATTGTAGTGAGGAAGCTTACTTAATAGCAGTAGTGATGATTGCACTGCTGGGCAGAAACAGGGTTTTCAAACAAACAAAAGACCTTAAGAAAAGCAAAGAAACTAAATGATAAGTGTTCGTATGACTTTGCAGTTAGATTCTAATATGTTAGTTTAGAAGTAGAAATAAAGGTGAAGGTGACTAGAATAACAGAGATGTTTCTCATGACTTTAAGGTGGCTTGCTGAAAACAGACACATGCAGGTAGGAATAGGTGTGGCATTTGCACATTTTAGTTACGTGATTATGACTACTTCAAGTTGCTCAGCTGGATTTCCTGTGTGCCAGCTATTGTCACTTTTTCCCCACCCTGTGCATGCACAAATCTCTCAGCAAAACAAAATCCATTGCCTTGAAGAATCTAGTAAAGGTAGAAGGCTTTTGAAAGGTGGTGTGTAACCTGTGGATGCAAACCTAGAGTAGGCTTTAACTTGTCCAAACTTCTCCTGTTTGTTCTTTGGGAAATTAGTCTACAATTCTGCATTGAAGCCAGGAGGAAAATCACGTTTTTCTTGGAAAACTGACTGTCTTCCTCCTTTGTCTTGTCATGCCAGGTGTTCAGTCAATGTTGAAGTTGTTACCTCTGCTTCTTGTTTAATTTTATGCATTTTATCTATTCTATCATCTCTATATAGGTAAGATTTTTTTTAAAAGGGTATCCTTTTGTTGCCCTTCCCCTTTTATAGGTGGTAGCAAGATTTATTTTCTAGAGTCAGAAAACATGTATGATAGATATATATTGATAGAAGCCTTTAGATTTTACTAACTGTCATATCCTATGTATATTTAACAATGCTTGTTAAATAATAGTTGTTTAGAGCTCTTAGCAGTGGTTAAGTTAGTCCTGGAGAACTGTAGTTTTGAAAGTGAGTTAAACTGCTGAGGTTTTTTTGCAGGCAAAATGGCTGTGAAGTTGTACGCTTCAGATGGGACTGCGTAGTTTGCAGGTGCAAACACAGTTGGAAGGATGAATTTGTTTTATTTTTCTTTATATCAATATACAGATTTAGAAAGGGATTTTTAATAATTACAAACAAGCAGTTTGAACTTTGGCTTTCATTGTGTCTTGCAGTAGACTAGGAGACTGGGTGGTTATATTTTGATTGTTTTTAGAGCTGTAGCTGCATCAAAAATGACCAGAACTGAAACCTTTGTGTTAGAAAATTGAATGTTGGCAGCTATCAGAGTTATATCCAAGCATAAGTATAGGGGAGACCCGTGCTTTGTTGTGAGCTCTTAAACTCCTGTGCCTCAAGAGCTTATTACTGAGGAACTAAGGTGCTTCTGGATAGTATAACCAGATAGCCATGACTGTCTGCAGGCACTGGCTCTTTATCAGGGCTAACAAACTGTTCAGAACCAGCATGGTGATCTGTTTTCAACCCCAAAGCTGACAGTAACTACATCACAGTTGGGATTTTTTTTAACTCCTAGGAAGAGCCTAAATATTCAACAAACTGCAGAGATTTCCACAGCATTTACCTTAAATTAGTAGATAAATTAGTAGAGCTGGACTGTGTGTGTAGTTAGGCATAATTCAATGGGAGTTTTCCCTCCGCCTAATACCTAACGTGTTATCTCTCCTTTTCATTGTAGGCAAACTGAAGGATCTTGGGAATTTGGTTCTCCGCCCCTTTGGCCTGTCAACAGAAAATTTCCAGATAAAACAGGATTCATCAACTGGTTCATACTCCATCAATTTTGTTCAAAATCCAAACAACAATAGATAACATGAATTCAATCTAGTTCTGCTGGCTTTCAGGCTGCGTGACCGTGTGCTTGCACGTACCAATAAAAGGATTCAGCAAACATTCTTCACGTTCCCCAAGTGAAGATAAGACTCAAGCATATTCATTTCCCTGCTTGTGAAATTATTTACAATGTGGATGTAAAGCAAGTCATTTGACTTATCTTAGTGATAACTGTGTCCAGTGTGTGATTTATTATTTTCTAAATTTTTTTTTTCTTCCCTTGTGGTGTTTGGCTTATCCAGCAGTCAGATTCATTATTTTGGCCCATTCAATGCTGGCAACAAAATTCTAGCAAGCAATTCAGTTGAATCAAAATGCCCACACACCTGTAGCCAAGAACAAAGCCTAATGCTGTCTTTGGGAATTAATGAATCTAGCAGAAGCACTTCTCCACACTCAGCAGGTGGATATGACTGACAGCATGCATGGAAGCAAGCCAACCTCTTCTGTGGAATAATTTTTCTTTGTAATAAAGGCTTGGTATTTCTGTTGGTTTGGTTTGTGAAGTTCTTGCCTTATTTAAGTCCTTCCCATGGTGGTATTGTTAAAAGTGCTTATAGCCACCCACAAATAACATACTTGCAAGACATTAATTTGAAGCATTTGATTTTATTTTTTTTTGTCTTGCTTATAGCAATATCAGTAAATTAACCTCAGGCCACCCTTACCCTTACCACCACAGTTTGTTTACTTTTTATTAATTTTTCTGAAGGCAAAAAGGAAATTTTGTGCCTATATATATATATACACACTTTGTAATGCTACCATAAAATTAGTTAAATTTGCTTGTCTGAGATTCATTCATATTACAGATACCCATAATGGGAAACAAATAAGTGATGTTAAAGTTGATTGCAAAAGATCTTCATAGTATACTAGACCTTGAAGACTGTGAAGTATCTATATATATCTCTCTCTGTATATATATATAGGTGCTGTTGAAATAGTTCATTCAGATTTTGGAGAAGGGCTGTCTTTCTTTTGTAATTACTGCTTACTGGTTTTTATATTGATGCTGAAATGTTTACATTGGAGGCAGATTTTTCAGTTGTCTCCATGCAGATTTCAACACATGATTTAATTAAATAATTAGTGGTGGCTGTCTATTGACTATTGGTTGTCATCTTGAATTTATTTCAGGAAGTCTTTCTGTGTACTTAAGGACTGAAATTACAGAGCTCCAGTCTTTACAGTAATACGCCTTAAAGGAATAGTCTCTCAAGCTAAGTCTGCAGTGAGCGTGTATTAAGTCTCTGGGAATTAAAATGTCATTGTCAAAAGAAGACAGAAGGCCTAATTCACAGTGAGGCCTGTGCAGCCTTTAACATCTTCTGCATAATTAAAATGTCACTTAAGCAAATAATGGCAAACAGCCTCTAGGATTTCCATGTGCTGAAACTGTAACTATGCCGTGCTTTACTGGAGTGAAGTTTCTAATGTGCAAGGCTGAATTTCCTTTACTAATAAAGTTTGGGCAAATGGTAAGGTGTATGGACGGGAGGTTTTAAAAAAAGAAGATGTTGCTCCTCGGAGCAGGCACACTGCTGCTGGGGCTGGGTGTGTCAGACAGACACCAGTATCCAGGCTGAGGGCTGAGCTTACCCCGGCAATCCGGGGAGGAGGGAATGTGCTGGGAGAAAAGCATGCTCACGCCCAAGAGGCTGTGCAGGTCCAGATAGGCTCATTAGCTCTAAAACCACTCTGCTTTCTGAACTGAGCTCTTCAGATCCAGGGAAGGCTTACTGGGTTGGGCAGAGTGTTGGGGCTAATATAAATGTTAATAATTTTTCCTGAAACCTGGAACGCTATGGGGCAAAGGTGTCCAAGCTGTTTCAGAGGAGCCCTGGGTGGAGGCAGTGCTGGGCTGAAGCTCGTAAGCTTGGCTTGTGGCCAAACTGAGGCACTCAGGTATGTCTGAATCATGCTTCCCTAGAGCTCCTAGTTCGGCACGGGCCAGGTAGAGGCGTCAGTTCTTGCTGTTGCAGGCTCCATGCTGCCTGAGAGCTGAAAAAGTGGCTGGCCCTGGAAGTGGTACAATCTGTCTGCACCTGGAGCCAGGCGGTCCACTGACTCTTCAGTTACGGTAGCTAACCCTACACAGGGGCTGGCTGAAGGGTGGGGAAAGGAGTTCTTCTAGGCTTTTTTCTCATTTGCCAACATGAGCGCTAGTCCTGCGTCACTGAATGGGAAGCAGACTAGGTCTGTGCCCTGGGTTTCACTCAAATGCAACATATATGTACACCCTTAGAACATACATAAATGGAACCACTTTAAAGCTACTATGGATACATAGAAAATTTAAAGTATCTTTGTTATGACCAATTAATTGCTATCTTTACACACACTGTGTTGTGTGTATATCTGTTATTTACCAGTGTATGGCTGTTGTGCAAAGTTACAAGCAGTGGCTTTTAGGAACCTCCTGCTTGTCTTACCAATGAGTTCAGTGACAGATTTTCTTCCTTCCGTTCTGTTCCTGCTTCACATCTTTAAAGGGCTGGAGGGCTGCAAATATGCCTTCTTGGGTGGAGGCTGGTTAACTTATTCTGGAAAATAAAAGCACAACGAAACTTTTGAAATTACTACCTGCTGCACAAACAACATCAAATAAGTGTGCAACCTCCCTGCTGAATGCCTGATGGGTACCTATAGTTTTAAAATGAAGGGATGAACAAATGAAGCTGAAGGATTGCAGCTGATTTGCTTTCCATACTTGTGTTTGTAATTTAGTTGCACTGTGTGAAAGAGGCGGGTTAGTGTCACTGGAAATTGGGCACACCGTTAGTGAGGACTCAAATCTATAGGTCATACACCTACTCAAAGTGCCACTCTCTAGCTAAACCAGAAAGCTCTGAAATGTGTTATCTGCCATTACAGCAAGTTCTCAAGGTAAAATTCCAATTAATTGCCTGAAGGAAGTCCTTTTGCATTGTCCAAATCTTGAACAATTGCATTTATTTTGCTCTTTATTTTTAAGGGTTTGGGTTTTTTTTCTTTTTTATGTCTAAAATAGTCATTACAGCTGCCACCAGAAAGGTAATTGGTACTTCCTCCTGGTGTAATTGGCCACAATTCCACCGCAGTGCCAGGGTGTTTTGAGTCACATGTGTTGGGCTTACAACCTCTAATAGGAAAAAAATGTTTTATGAAACATAATCTTTTAAATAAGTGCTCTTAAACCAACACGTTCCTTGCTAATTTGTTCCAATAGTTACTCACCCTTATTGTAAAAAGCACGTGCCTTTTTTCCACTTTGTCCTCAGCTCCCAGCCTTTGTTCCTTCTTACTCTGCCTGCAAAATAAAAAACATCTTAGTACCTGGCCTTTTCTCCCTGAACATGTTTGCATAGTAATGAAGGGGCCTGTTGGTCTTCTCCATAAGCTGAAGAGACAGGGCTGCTTTAAGTCTCTCCCTACAAAGAACTTTCTCCAGGATTTCCCTAATGTTTGTGTCCCAGACCTTCCATTTTTTGACATTTAGGAAGGGACATCAAAAGTGATGCTGAGATTTGTCTCCCTTCTGCTCTCTACAGACGGCATGATATGCTTCCTCACTTCTTTGTTTATACCCTCAAAGACTGTCTTAACCCTTTTGGCAACAGATGAGCGAAGTTTTAGACCTCCCTTTAGCCTTTTCTGGGATAGCTGAGAGAGACTCTCCTTTCCTGCAGCTGTGGACAGCATTTTCTTCCTTGTGTTAATGCAGCTAAATGCAAAATTAAGTCACACTTTGTTTGGCAGGCCTGGCGTACTAAGCAACACATGGGGTTTTTCTGTGTTTTCCACCCATGCTGTTGCTTACCAGCATTTTCAGAAGCAACTTTAGCTTTGCTTCTCAGTCACTGATGAAAGTGTCAAATAGTACACAAGGTCTAGCAGTGATTTGAGCAGACTCACAGGAAACATCCCTGTTTGAAGGACAGTGGCAAACTGTTTGAGATCTGTTGGGGAGGCAATCTTAAGCCACGTGTGCGTCATTTATTTTATATTGTAGATAGTTATCTGTAAACACTGCGTATACTGTAAAGCGCCATGCCAGGTGATGCGTCTTTATAATTAGACTTACTAAGCCTGGTTGAATGACAAGATCTATTTTTGATGGACTTTAATTGCATGTTTGCCTTTAATTCTTTATTAATGGATTTCTGAGCCTGTTTTCAGATTCCTATCCCTGATGTCAGATTAACCAGCCTATATTTACCTGGGCTGTCATCTTTGCCCTCTGTTGCTCCACTGACCTGTCTCTGTATCCAGCATACATTAAAGGCAAAGTGGGTGAGCCAGCTGGCCATTTTAGGTGAAATACCTGGGCTTATTTTCAGTCCTGTTACTGTTCCGCCTGGTTGCTAGCAGAATGGCAGGTACATCACCCCGTTTGCTTTAAATTGAGAAATACAAAACACCAGTACTTTTATGGTCTGCAATAGGCCCCCACCGCATTTTGAGCACTGCTTTTGTTCCTTATAGATTAAAATTTCTCTTGTATCATCCTTACCCTTGTTAGTCACATCTTTTTTAAGCTTTCCTTATCAAGATTGTATTCTCTTACATCAAGTTTATAGCAACTACATATTTTGTCTTCCCATATGCATTGTTTTTATTTTTTAATTGCTGCCTTCATACCACTGTTGAACCTCCAGGTCATATAGCCAAAGATTACCTCATTTTGTAGTTTAAAAAAACTTTTATATTTCCTTTGTTTAGCATCTTAGAAATTTGCATTTTTCTTTGTAATTTTCTTATTTCTAGTCAAGTTTACCCAATTTTTCCTTCTAGTTTTATGGGTTTTTTTAAAGCAGGGGTAGAAATCGAAAAAATATGTACATTTATATGTGGGTAGATGTGCACAGATCTGTGGGTAACTCCAGACTCTCTGTCTGTAACCACCAACTTCCAGGACACTGATTTTTGTCTCTAGGCATTATAATATGGCTCAAAGTAATATATCCAGGATCTCATATTAGAAAGCCCTTGTAGAAATAATTTTAGGAAGCTCAGTGTGCCCAGTATGTCTCCGGCAGTTTATCTTTTCATTACAAGGGTGCTTGAAAAGTAGCTCATCTGTCTTCTGGTGGGCCCATTAGTCCTGTTTCCTGAGCTTTATCATCACGCTTGTTGATACATGCTTGGTAGCTGTTTTAGTCTACAGGATTTAAAATTGCTGCTGCTTCTTCCTCTACCCTTCCTGAATAAGTAATACCCAGTAATTGCCAGTCCACTCATTTAAGACATTCCACTACATTACCATATTCTAAAGCTTATATCATTATTTTCTTCTCATTTGTGAGACTGTGCAAACCATCTTATTGTATAGGAATATTAAGAGTAAGAATGAGGAACTAGAAACCTCTATGTGCTCTCTGATAATTCCATGTGGGTTACTTACAACACTAAATTTCAGATTCTATCACTTTTGTTACCTCTACCTCTTCCTCTTCATGCATGACGGGAGCGGGATACCCAAGAGAGATGTCTTCACCCTCCACTTCTCTG